TCCTTTTAAATCTTTGTCCTCCTCCACCAGCTCTAGATTTTCTTGGATTGCCTGCGGCCGTCTGTGGAAGTGTCACAAACTGCACAGTCGCCTGTTGGGAGCTTTCGGGGGAAATGTTCAGAGAAGACACCTTGAGGTCCAATTCCCGCCTCTGCGTGCTCCACTCCTGGAGAGACCTTTAGAGATCAGAAGCAGCAGTGATAATGCCTAATCAAGCCACTTTGATACAGTATATATTTGAATATTTTAGCTGAGTGTTAATTTTCATAAATAAATATTTTTAGTCCCATGGTTTACTGGGGAATCCACAATGTCATTTGTTTTAATATAATGAAGCACAGCCATGTGTTGAGGGCACTTTTAAACAGGATATTTTGTTTGTTTAAACAAACAATTTTCTACGAACCAGACAAGTTGTAAAATCCTTACTGAAAAATTTTTGCCTGTTGTGTTTCTACATACTGTGTACAGAGAAATAGAGATTTGTTGAGTTGAAGCTAAACTCTCCTAAGAAGAAGGGTGAACCTTAACATTTTTTCCATTACCTGCACTGCAAAATACAAAACTTTAACAAGCATTTTAATTGAAGGGTGTAGATGAAAATAAATATTAAATATGCTATACTCTAAAAATATGTTTCACTGTGACATAATTTTAACTTTCATAGTTCTTGTTTAATTCCAGGTTTATTCAAGTGCTTCAAACTTTACTCAAAGAACATGTTTCAGTGCTGTACTGTATATGTGTTTGTATCAGTGACCTGTATCCTATTTACCTTATGTACTGTAAGTAAAGACCAAGTGTGGAAAGTCCCCAAAAGTAAAATCAATAGAGATGTTTAGAATAACGCAACCAAACGTATTCCACATGTTTTCATCCTGGAGCTGACTGCAGGCGAGGGCGCCATGGTTACCTTGGAACCTTAACTTCAAACAGCTGGATGATCCAGATTCTGAAATCGTATGGCACTGCCTTTTCACTTAAGTGTCCGTTTATAGCACAGCAGCTCTCATTTTTGGCTTTTAACCAAGTATAACAAGATGAAATAATACCACAGCACTTTTTAATCACATATTTTACTCTGATCTATGTATCAAATAAGTAAATGAAACAAGAGGTTCAGCTGTTAGTGAAGCAATCATGATTTTTCAAACTTGTCACACTAGTGATGTTTCCCCTGGTTACCTGAAACTTTAAACTTTCTAGATGTAAATCTATTAAAACGATTATGAAAGCATAGAAAACACGAGTGTATTTTTTGCTTAAATGCAGTTTTGGAATTTTAGTTAATTGAAATTTTATTTTGAGGTACAAATAGTGATACAGGTACAAATAGGATACAGGATAGGATAGGATAGTACAAATAGGATACAGGTCACTGATACAACCTAAAGTCACCAGCTTTAGGTTTTTGGGAATTCACATCTCTAAAGATCTAACCTGGACTGTGAACACTGACTCTATCATGAAGAAGGCTCAGCAGCGCCTTTATTTCTTGAGGTGCCTCAAGCGATGGGGGATGCCAATACATGTGTTGGTAAACTTCTACCGCTGCACCATCGAGAGCGTCCTCACCAACGGGATCACCGTGTGGTATTGCAACACCTCTCCGCGAGAAAGAAAGGCACTGCAGAGAATGGTCAATATGGCCCAGAAGATCATCGGCTGCGGTCTCACCGAGATTAAACAGCTCTTTGAGGACCGCTGCCGTGGTAGGATTCTGGCCATCACAGAAGACGGTCACCACCCCGGGCATGAGCTCTTCACCCCACTGCCCTCAGGCAAGAGATATAAGAGCATATGGACACTTACCACTAGATTCTTCAATAGCTTCTATCCACAAACAGTGAGACTGGCGAACACATTTAGCCATCCCCCTCGGACCACACCTACACCATCACCATCTACCTCCTTATGATTTCTTATCTATTGCACATCTCCAGTCATTGTTTACACGTCTGTATTGTTTACATTCAAACTGCCTGCATGTTTACTTGCACATTGTCTATTGTTTGTTTGTACATTGTCTTGATGCACTGTTTGCACTTTGTCTTGTTTTTTACACTTGTTTTACAATCGAGAGACTTTCTGTAAGTAAGAATTCCATTGTACCAGTACCGGTTACATATGGCAACAAAGTTCAAGTTCTCAAGTTCAAGTTAGTGGAAAAAGATTTGCTAGTGAAATGACTCATTGATATTGCAACGCATACGGCCACCATTGCAGGTTGTTCGAGCCGGCTTACCAGCGCGGTGACGTCACCGCCCTTCCCTGTGAATAGCAGGGACTGCAGCTGTCGGGGAAATCTCCCTTTAGCTTGGCTGGGTCCCTGTTGAGTAACGCGAGGGGCCCGGGTTCGAGTCCCCAGTGGTGGGGGGCCGACCTGAGGCAGCAGCGGCGAGAGCTCATACCAACGTGAACCCGAGAGTGCTACAATATGTTTTAGTGCGTCCAATGCGATTTTCTGTTTTATTACAAGGAAATGTTTTTAGTCATAGGTAAATATTGTAGGTAATTGAAAAGGCATCTCTCACTGTTTCGCTGTAGGCCTGCAGCCTCCAGTGTTTGAGAAATCCCAGTCACAGGACACAGAAAATGTATATAATTCATATTAACTTTCTGACACATGTTTCTAAGCTGGCACATATTCAGTGTGTTGTGCAAGCCAACCAGAGGTTTGCAAACCATCTTTATTGCTCAATAAATGGTGTAGGGGTTCATTCATAAAGTACTGTGGGCAACTACATTTGCACAAACTTTTATTTCTCAGTTGCATGATATATCTAACAGCCTGCCAGCCTCCCTTTGGGCCACGCAACTTCAGCAAGTGCTTCCCAACTGCAAACAACACATCCCCTCCAATGGGCAACCATCTTGAAGCAGGCTGAGACAGAGGGAGGCCATTGAAATATGCTCCCTGAGAAAAATCTCAGATTTGTAACCTCCACTTCACTTCACTCCCCTCCTTGCAAAAGTCAGAATTGGCCATTTTGGAACGGGCAAAAATGGGATTTTCAACACCTGTGGCGGATCCAGATCAAACCTTTGACCTGGAAAAGGTTTCTCTCCTTCAGGTAGAAGCAGGAGAGAGAGGTGATGACCTGTCCCAGTCAAGACGCACACTTACTGGGTTCATGACCTACGACCGGCAGACAAGCTGAAGCTTTGACGTGTGTGTGTGGGTTTTGGTCCATGTTAAAACTTCAGGTAAAAGAGATTATGACTACTGCCAAAAAAGAGAGAAAAAACAATTGAGAGCTCTGTGGGTAACTTGCATTAAATTCAATATGTACTGTATATGTATGTCTAACAGGTAGTGAAGTCAGCGTGACTAAGATTTCAGCTCCACAGCCTTATCTGACAGGCATCCTCTCCTTCATTTTGAGTCCAGTACTGTGTCAATGAATTCTATCAAAACAGATCTTGAAACTATTTTTTCTTTAATTAACTTAAAAACACTTTCAGATAATCACCCTCAAAATTCGTCCTTAAATCCATCTGTAAAGGCAGCCCTGAGTTAATTTGCAGTATTGTGTGTCTTTAAAATACCAGTTCGAGAGAAAAGTAATATACTGGATGCCTTCTCATTGATTGAAGGGGGAGGGCTGAGCTCAGTTCGACTTTAGGTAGGCAAAAAAGTACAAGAAACCAGCACGCCCTTCAATCAGGCTGATTGTGATTCTGTAGCGCACTAACACTCTTTATAACATTACCATCAATACCAATAGGGTTTAATCAAGCTGCCAAGGAAGTGATCATTATTTTTCAAATCAAACATATTGAATCAATATTTCTGTTACAGTTTAACCAACAATAGACTTAAACATCATACATACATACCCTGAAGGCCAGGTCTGGATCTATAAAAGAACGGTTTTATGAGAGCTACAGCTATGTCCAATAGCAGGCCCTCCGACAAAGATGAATCAAAAGCAAACAGGTGGAGACAAAGGTGAATAAGAAATGTTGTTCTACATTTAAGGTCTGCCTTGTGTGATCAGAATGCTGCAGTGCTCCATTTTGGTGCTCTAATACGCTTTGATATATTTTCATCTGCCTTGATCAATAAGTTTCCAGCTAATCAACATTTCTGGCTGCAGAATATTGTTTTTAATGTAAGGTATTTAAATGTAAAACAAACTGACAAGAATACAGGGCCATTGAAGAGGCAGGGGAAAGGCCAAAGAAATGGGCAGTCCCAGCTGCTCAGCAGTACTGAATAGATTAGGATAATGGTGTGCTGTTTCAGTGCAGTAATTCAAGGACATCCTGGAATGGATTACTTCAGATGTCTGTACACATCTATTTTATTTTCATAATGAACAATATGCACTGGGTATTGCCTACTGTAAAAATGTACAGGACTGACAGAAATGTAATAATGCCATGTTATCGAGCAGGAATGTGGCAGTGTGAAAACAACTCATTAATAATAATCGCCGGCCTGCTGTAAGTTACTCAAATGTATCTATTGGCCCAAAGGTTTGTTTCTAATGCCCCATTGGCTTTGTCAATGTGCTTCTTCAGCAGACTCTTTTAGACACTCTCACGTCTCCGTTTTCCACCCCTGCAGCACCTGCTGCAGCTAAACTGGCAATAAATAGACACTCAAAAATAGAAGAAAGAAACATCAGCATGGTTAGTATAAAGAATCATCACATTAACACACACTAACACTAAGCAAAGTGGCACATTGTGGTAACCATGCCAGTATCTTTCAGTAGTGGAGCTCTTGCTGTTACTATAGTAAGGCTGAATGGACTCTCACTCAACATCCTTTTGATTTAATTTCCACAAAGCCTTCAGATCAAATGCAGTTTCATTGATTTGGTAAAGTCCAAACTGCCATAAGCTACAAATTCAGTTTCTCCAGGTAATGGTCAGGGAATTATAACTAGCACACTGTGTTTCAGTTAGGCATATAAACCTGAAGAAGGCTCCACAGTCATAACGTTGTGTTTTCTTTCTTCTCTTTTCAGCAGGAATAAACCTGCTACTTGTCCCTTTGCAGCCTACGCATCCAGATGCAGCTACCCACCTGAAATAATAAAGTATATTGTACAATAAATTAAAATAATATTCTCTTAATCAGCTAATATTACTATTTTTAACAGGTTTTCGGCATTGAAGTCTCAGTTTTTTAGCACATCACTGTGGAGTACACTCACATTTGTGGTGATCTCTGTACATACTGTATTTACATGAAAGAGTCCTCTCAAAATATTGAATTGTATGCATAACGTATATAATTACTTTTTCCAAAGACGTGAACCGTCCTGTCCAAGTCTTAATTTTTTAATGATTTAAGAAGAATATAAAGTAGTAGCAGACCAGGCCCTATCCTCAGTGATTTCTGTGACAAGTTATGGCTGATGTAAAGTCATCCCACAAGAGGTATGGTTACTCATGCACACATATCTGGTGCATCACTGAAGGTAACAACAGACCTGGATAATGCCTCAGTTGTAAACAGTCCCGGATCTCAAACCTTTAAGCACATGTGAGATGTTCAGCTCTATCAATTGTTGCTGTACTGTACTGTACCAGCATTGACCTCTGCAAACATCTATTGGAATCAACACTGCAACGCATCACTACACTGAGCTGCTGTTAGGGGTATTTTCTAATATTTTGATCGGATTGTATATAGGTATGTTTGTATATGTAGCATGTCAATCAAACTTATAGGGTAACCTGGAAGGCAAGAATCATTATACCCCTTTATACACCAGTGTTGTATTACAATTTATCGACCTTAAAATAAAGTGTGACAGGAGTTGTACAAACCTAACTGTAAAACTGTGTTCTGTTTAAAAAATATTCCTTGTTAGCAACAGTACTTACTGCAGGCATGGTGTCATACAATTTTTTTTTTGTTTTTTTTGTAAATTATAAGATGTCAATATTAATGCGGACAAACCTGTAAGTTGTTAACTGCAGAATGAGATTTCAGACCTCTGAGTCCTTAATGCGTAACCTCAGTACCATTCTCTAAAAAACAGGAAACCTGCTTTGTGATAAGCCGAAGCATGTTTTCGGCTCATTAATTAAAACTGCATTCTTGGTCACATGAGAAAATTGTGTATACAGATGCTATCCATTGCTCTTCATGCTGTCATTGAGTGTACTGAGCAATGCTGCACATTTAAATTGCTAAGGAGATCTCCTTTACACAAGGCTAGTGAGGTGTCGTGGGAGTGTGGCAGAAGCTACCCACCCACGTTATTGAAGCCGATGCCCCGGCTTCTTTGAGGAAAAGTCTGGATGAGATCCATGGATCCCTTAGCTCCTAACTACCAAGACAGGCTAGATGGGCAGAATGGCCTCCTGTCGTTTGTAACCTTTCTCACGTCCTCACGGGGAAGGTGGATATCAAGGATCAGGTTGTAACAGACCAAGCTGACTTGTTGTCTCAGTTACACTTAACGCTCTCCTATGCAGAAGCAGTACAGCATTCAGCTTCATTAGCTCTGCACTGGCATTCGGTATTCGGCCCCCAATATGTAGACGATCTTACAGAACATACCGTGATTCCTGTCAGGGTTACAGCGCTGTCATTCGCAAGTTAGCATTGTTCGATTTCATATGTGCAATGTGGATTATAATAAATTCACACTGTGACGTGAGCACGTTCGGTGAAATGGCTCTCGGACAGCATGCGGCCTGGAGAAAGTAACGGAAGATTCCTGTTGCTTTTGTGTTTTTGGTTTGCCGTCCATCTGAAACCAAACCGCTGTTAATGAAAAACCAAGGGAACCGACATGTCAGCTAAATTACTGAATGCGTTTGTTTATTGACAGCGGTAATAGACTCCAAGGCAATTCATCTGAAACTGTTAAAGGAAGAGAGTAAAAAGGCACAAATGCTGTTGTGTGCAATACCAAAGAAAGTTGGTATTTGTCACCTTATAAAATAAGTGGAATCTCCAAAATGCCACACTGTTCGGGTGCCATTCCATGTGGAAAAGAAGCTGACTGGGCAAAATTTCAAATTCCAAGAACGTAAAGACCCCGAACACAGTTCCAGGAAATGTCAAACAGATTCCTGCTTTATTAGCCTTGGCAGAGAGGTAATCTGCATGGGACACAGCACCAAATGCAAAACAGACCAGTCACAAACACAGCCATATCCAGTACCTCTGCTCAGTTTCTGGGCCTGTTAGAACCATTCCTGCCGGGACCAGCAAAATCTGGGAAAAACGCTTTTCTATGTTTCTCTCTCCTCTTGCTAATATGCAAACGTTCTGAATAATTCTGTGAGATTTGTGTCTGTCTGTAAGCTGTTCAGCTTGTTCGTGCTGTATGTGTGTGGTAGTGCCTCTTTGCCTTGATAAGCCGATAAGCCACGTGTTCCCTTTCTAAACTGATGCAGTTCTGAATTTGCACGTCAGCTACTGGAAACATTTTATCTGTGTTGTTGCAATGATGCTTTTGAAATTGCACAGATGAATAATGGTTAAAGGTTGTAAATAGAGTGAAGATGATTTCAGAATAAATCCTTGCAATTATCGAATACTCCACTCTGCTGTCTATTTTAATGTGCTTTATTTTAATAACATTTGGAGTAATTGTAAATAAAACGTCACTGGAAATGTAATGTTCCCATTTACAAATTTTGTTTAAAGTGGAATTATTCAGTGGTCTGTATTACCAAAATATGAAAGCTGTAATAACTCATCTATATGGTTTACTATTTATTTACTATTTTTTATATATTCACAAACATGTTCCACCAGAATATAAACACAAAGACATCAGGTCTGTCAGTATATAATTGCTCCAAATTGTCCAGACATCATTTGTCATTGAGGTTGCATCACACATTAAATATATTTTTGTATTTATAAATGATAAATACAAAAATGTTTTATGTAAGGTATGTATGCAGTAAAATAAAAGAATAAAAATCGAAGTTTTAAAAAGATGAGCACTGAGATTAATTTTAAGGCAGATGACAGAAAGCAAACCAGGTAATATTCTTGTCTGTGGGCTTCTTGTAAATGGAATTCATTTTGGCCATGCAATATGAACATGTTTACAAGCTAATAAGCTCAATCTAGCTGTATTACATTTAGGAAGGAGGCACACTGCTTGAAATGTAATAGAGTCTATTTTTTGTTTAGCTCTGCATTAGGTCAGTAGAAAGTATTATTCGAGATGTGTGTGAGTAGGCAGTGTTTTTAACACCTAAAATAAACAAAGACTGAATCAGTACAGCACATATCACTTCCTAACACCCGGGCCTCCCTGTAGGAAAATAGGCTTTCTGCTTCATATACCTTTTTAATTCAATTGAATTTAATTTAGTAAATTTCAAAGATTATCACTGTCCCACATAAAAGGCACTGTAGCAGATCCTTTTGTAGTGAAGTCTAGTCATAAAGGACATTCCTTCCACAGAGGTTAATACAAGATAGCTGTATCATCACATTTCCAGTGGTGCCTGCAGACACTCCAGTGCAGTCCTCTGAGGTCAGGCGACTGCTTGCTTTTGACTTTCAAACAAAGAACTGAGATATGAAGTGTCAATTCTGAGCGCAGGCAGGCAGATTCATTAACATTAATTAATGTGCTAGAGCCAGTTTTTACAACCTTTGCACCTCAAGACCTTTTGTGTTTTTTTCTTTCGTGTCATTTTTTTTTGTTGTTTTGCATTTATGGATTTATAAATCAGAAAGTATAATCACTATAGACTGCTGTAAATTTTATGTCCCTAATAGATAACAATAATTTGTATGCCGTACTAAACTCATAAATATCAAGCAGTCTCACTGGAGCGGCTGCATATGCATAAAACAACACTTAAGAAACGTAAACTGATGTGCCTTTCATTAAAATTGTCTGGTAGTTTCAGGGATGAAAGTACTGCACAGTGACCCTGAGTGCTGTTGTGCTATGCATATAATAAGAGGAGGCAGAATTAATCCCCTCCCTAATGACCTCTGAAAATGAAAATCCATTATAGTAATGATATTTGTACTTAGGCCTTGATGTTTTCTTATTCAGAATCTGAATCCAGCGATAGAATTGTGCTTCGTGCCTGGCGAGAACACGTGTAAAGATAATTACATAAAATAATCAGCTTTATATAGGTGCAAGGTGACTTTCTTGCTAAGGAGAGAAAGCTCAGTGAAAAATGTAATCATTTTCCATCTACAAGAAATTGTTTCTAATTAAGGCCAGTAGGCTAAAAGAAGCAATAACCCTTTATTGCCCTTTCGTATTTCCATCTGACGAAGTAAACAGCGTACAGACAAGCCCTGCACAGTTTGGGTTAGTGTGATATATGCATATGTGTGCTTGTTTACAGTACTAAAGACAATCAGAAAACCTTTTTAGCATATTCACATTAGATTCTGTTTATCCCGTTTGTACATGAAGAAGGGTGTACAGTGTGTTGTTTCTTTAAGGACTCATTTTCATTAAATACTGTATACAAGGAAGGATTTTAATCGCCTTCCTAACTTTCTTTCTAAAATAAACTGGACGTACTGTACTATAGAGAGCTCATGTAAGGTGCCGCTTTTGCCTCAGATTTCCTGAAACCAAGCAGGGTAAAAGTAAAGGTCTGCTAATAAAGCAATCACACACTGATTAGGTGTAGCGTGCAGAAGTCTTTAAGCAGAGTTATTTTCAGTATTTTGTGTTTCATGTTACCACAGAAAACCGTGCGTGCATCTCTAACTTTTTCATGGCCTTAGCAGATAATCCACTCACATTCTTACCAGAGCTACTGCACATTACATACAGTATAACACTTTAATCTTAACTCTGGTTTTACTTGTAGTATTGTTACTTGTATTTTGCTTACAAAAACCTGAATCATAAAGCTAAGGCTTTTTTATTCTGTATCTGTCTAAATTTAAGGAAAGAACAACAATCTGTTATAAAATGCAAGTTAAATGTGTGAAATGCTTTCCTGTTTCATTTCTTAATATAATTCAGTTCAAAGACTTGCATACAGTCTGCATTTTCTTTTTTTTCCTTTTCAAATGCATTTGCAAACAATCATTATCCCACCTGAATACATCAGGTCAAAGCACATTTCAAATATCCTAGCGTTTTCCTTTGTGTGCTCTCCTTAGCAGAAACAAAAACACTGGGCACACTGTGCTGTATATTTACAGTTCAAGACAGACACACACAATGCTGTTGCAGAGAGAGCGATTGCCATGCAGGCTGTCATTGCCACAAAGAGACCTACCTTTTTGCACATTACGGTGCCGATTTGTAATCCATTTTTAAAAAGAACAACAAAAAGAAAACGAATCCCATTGCCACTAGGTGGCTATTTCTGATCAGATCATCTTACCATTCTAATTACATTTTTAATATCCAGGTTGCATTAAGAAAGATAAATTACAGTCCTAGCACAATCCGACTGCTAGCTCAGAGACAATCTATTATAATATCAGCTTTTGTCCACGTCTCCTCTAATTAGATTTTCAAACGCCGGCTTTATCAATCAATAATTTTAATTTCTGACGCACCTTTTGATTCTGCACTTCATGTTTGTTTGCAGAAAATATGTAGTAGAACAAAGCTGCTAATTTATTCCGAAAACAGTCTCCCAGCAGAGCTACAAGCACATTCCTACCCATCAACAGCAGACTGCAGACTTAGCTTGACACAGGTCTAATTAGCATGCAGATATGCATCGCCTCATTGGCAATTCAAATTGCTTTTCTGTAATGTACCTCAAATTGTTCTACTTCAAACATTGTATTTGATTTCCAAAGCCCCCTGGGCATCCCATAATGTCTCCCTTTATCCTGGGTATGAAGCGTTTATTGAACAACCTGCTATGACTCTGGCTGCCTTTTCAAAAACACCCAAACATTGCAGCCCTGGGACTAGCTTTTCTTCATGTCAGACAGCAAAATGTTCTTCTTTGGAATTTCATACGCTCCGTTTGTAGTTTCAGCAGTGATATGTTACCTCGTGAATTCCTGCTCCCACTGTGGCAGCTTCCCTAGGAGGCTTCATTTCAGTGGCACACGCTTAAAGGGGGGAGGCTGTCTACTCAGCACGTATTAATATGCGGCACATAACTACAGCCCTGAATGCCAGCACTCCAGTCTTCATTAGGCAAAACGCTTCACAATGGCTGTGCTTCCCCTTGCCGTATGCACAGGGCATCTCCCGTCGGCGTGCCTCGTCGTCAGAGCCCGGCGCGTTCTGGGACTTTGGTGTGCAAAGTTGTCTGAGGGGGCGCGTGACATGCCAGGCGACTCCCCGGCAGCACCAGGGCCCCTCTTGCCAGGCGGCAACAAGTGGCAGCGCCAGTGGTGCACAGTCATCCAGCAGTGTAATTCATTTCACTGGCTTTGGCACCTGGCCAGAACCGCCATCTGTCTCTCTCGCTCTCTCCCTCTCACTCGCCTGAATTTGTCCTACATTTCGTAACGTTACGTGCTTGCCATCCTTTATTCCATGTCAGAGAATACAGCACGAGTCCTGTTCCCGTTGCGATAAGAAGTTCTCCGGGTTAGGTGGCATCTCGCCTGCTCCGCTTCGGTGCCACAGAAACAAGGAAGCTGGGTACACAGAGGAGGACGTGCAGGAGTCTGGCTCATTTTTTTGTTGTTGTGGTCGTGGTTCCTGTTGTCGTTGATTTTTCTCTATAGATGCCCGTTGCCTCTGCTTTTTCTTGAGAGCCCTGACATGGTGTCTGGCTCACGTGGGAACTTTCCCTGCTTCGTTAGACCATCTTCATTCTCCTGATCGGATGCTGGCACCGTACGCCACTGTGCAGCTCATGAGGGTGCCTGCTGCTGGATGCTTGCAGCTCTCTGCCACCAAGCAACCTCCTGCATTGGAAATAGGGTGACTACTATGGGATCTTGTGTGAGCTTGCTGTTTGAAGCTGCAGAAAAGTGAATAATCAATTAAGTATTGATTTCTTGTAAGATTTTGTAAATTTCAAAGGCAAGACAAAGAGGATAGCTTAAGGAAAGCACAGCAGGGACCCGGAGTAAATTAGGCAACAAACAGCGATGTGGAATAAACTAACGCCTCATCAGAATCTTTTTTTTTTTCCGAAAGAATTAATTCTAGCTGTTGGAAGACAATGGTGGCTTTAATCAGAACGACAGGCAAACAAGAGTTTAACCACGAACCAGAAAGTGGAGCTAATTAGAAGAGCTTTTATAATAGAGCTCATTTGAATATAGGGATGCAAATCGGCTTTCTGCCCGTAATGGATCAGAAAGCAAGCCATGCAGTGAAGAATTAAGGGTTATCATTCATGTGAAGCGCTTTTTAACAGAAAAAAACGTTCAATCTTATACTACAAGGAAGAGGCATTTGTGTCACCAGAATTCGACACAAAAGACCACATACAGCAACTGCAGCGCATTTTTTTCTGCCATTTGCATTGAAAAATAATAAAATAGAACGTGTCAAGCCTATTACTGCCGTCTATTTAAGATGCACGCTGATGGAGCTCTCAGTGAATGATAATTATCATTGCTAGAATACCAAGTAGCTGAGCGGGGATGAAAAAAATGATACAGAAGAAAAATGCTAACAGTTAATGGTATTCAGAAGGCAGTTCATGTCATATGCATACTGACAACGGGTAATTATAATGACCCATTCATTTCTCCAGATAAACTAGGGATGGGTTGATGGAAAGAAAAAGTGCAAAGTTCTGCCTTTGTTCTCTTGCAAAAATTAACTGTTTCTTCTCCAGGTGGATACACTAAACCAAAACGCAAACCAAAGGAAAACCAAACTTGAGACAAAAAGCAGGGTTTCAATGGATGTGTGCCTTTTTGCGGTCTGCTGAACTCATGGGCTTGCACATGTGCTTTGTGTTAGGAGGAAGCTTGCCTTCTCATACTGCCATGCGACATGACTTCCACAGCTGCACAGGAAAGCCATGCATCTCCAAGTCTCCAGGTTTTGAAACAAAGTGGCTTCATTTGAGCTTAAATTCCTGTGCTGATTGGCGAGACTTTCAAGCACATCAGCTAAAAAGGCAACAGGCTCTGACTTGGGAAACTGGGTTTTCACTGCTGCTATGTGAAAAATGGGGACTGGAGGAGGGAGATTTAGAAGGTAAAAGACAAGGAAGTAAATACCAGAACACTTGCAAAGAGAACAACATGGTATACGAGGAAATACGTGTGGATCCTATTGCATCACTGGGAACTAAGCTTGGAGGTGTGTCTGCAGGTCATATGACATGGCTGTGTGTCAGCATCAAAAACGTGGAACTGTACAGCAATTGGATGAGTGGGTTGCAGAGCTCCGAACAGTAGGAATACACACTCGGCACCCTGGATTTACCTGGGTTTACGAACTGAACGTGTGCTGATCACGAACTGGAATACAAATAGAAACTGAACACTTGTAAATGGGGATCAATCCCTATATTATTTTTATTACCGCTATTAAGGTTTATTATAATTCATGATTTTATCTTTTTGTTGATTGATTCTATGGTTTTCCACACAGCTCAGCTGTTATAGTCTAATATATTGTATACAGTCCAATAGTTTAATTATTTTGTAAAAAAGCTTAATTTTTATTTTAAAGAGTATGTGTATTACCTGTGGTGAATGTACTTTATCATTAGTGTGAATATGAATATTGTCTGTTAACGTGACAGACATTAGTAGACATACAACTTAAGACCTACCTCCTTCAATGAAAATTGGAATCTAGGCATGTGGCAGATCAGAGCTGTGGGGTCCGGGTTTAATAGAGAACAAGAATACCAAAACACATTTCTCTTTGTGTGCATGCGGTTGTGTTTGTTCCAATGCATGAGTGCATGAGTGTATTCCAATGCAGTAGGTTCAAGGGCAACTAAAGGCCTCATGTTTCCTTCATGTGCACTGTGATCTTCCTTTCTTAAAAAAAAAATCCAGATTTGTCACGGTTAGAAGGTTTCCGGGTATGCATCTCCAATGTGGTTGTCTTCTTCAGGCGGGACTGTTGCCAGAGAAATTATCTGTTCTGAATTTGAGCAGTGGCCATGACTACAATTACAGCACTGTACCTGCATCACAGCTGAAATTCCAGGCCGCTCCACTTAAATTATTGCTTATAGTCACAGTAAGACTTGGGAAAGGGTCTTCGGGAGATACTTCAGAAACCATGCACGCACATTTAGTGCTTGATTACCTGCATAAATATGTCCTGAGGTGTTTGCAGTTATCACTAAACTAACCTGTCTGCAAGACACAAATAAACAAATGATCCTGTTTTCAAATACAAATTGAGTTATAAATTAAGTTATAAAAATTATTTTATGTTCCACAATATGGGTATAGGAAAGGTCAACCACTTTGGTTTACATAGTCATTCAAACAATGCAAAACAATACAATACGAACAAGGCATTCACTCTACAAATATGCTTTACAGAAAGTCTGTGTTCTGAAGGAGTTTTACCTCCAAATTATACCTTCACCTTGACCAACATACGCCTCAGGATAAAGGAGGACCTTTCTAACCTCTGCGACTGAGAGAGAAAAAGAGAGGAAGAACTTCAATTACCTGGACAATGCAATGTTTTGTGTCTTTTTTCATAGCCCTCCTTGTGAATTGTGGTGTGCTTTAGCTATGTTGTAAGCAATCTTAGCCTAGAGGCAGGCCAAGCCTTGGCTTTGTATGGCTGTGTAAATGTTATGTTTTACCTTACCATAATCATCTTCTTTTTTTCTTCTTTTCATCTTTTTTCAGTAACCTTCTTCGAATGATACTTAATAAAATGGCCATGTCTGTTTGTATTAATGCAGGTCAGAGCTGAGGTGATTTGGGAATGATGCCTTTTAACCTTTCTTTCAGTCTTTAGCTGTTATAATTTGGGACAGTTCTTCTTATCAAGAACAGAAGCACTTCTTTACACAATGGGTTGTGGGAGTGTGGATCAAATTGCCCAGCCATGCTGTTGAAGCTGATACCCCGGTTTCTTTTAACAGCTCCTTGGATTAGTTCATTAGTTAATACCTATTAAACAAGCTGGAATGGCTGAACGACCTTCTCGTTTGTCTGCTGGGGACAGTGGCATTTTTATAGACCTGGACTTTCTGAAGACCTTGTGCTTCTGTTGCTCTTTAAGATAGGGATGATCTGAAACTAAACTGAGGGCATTTTTGCCCTTTACACCAGTAATGAATTTGTCCCAGAAATAAAGGCACGGATCCCCCTATCATTTCCACTTCTAACAAAGGTGTAACTAGTTTTTAGTATTCCAGCTGATGGATTGAATTAAAATGTTTTCAATCTATTGTTCTCCAAAACCGAAAATGTTTAATACATAATAAGATATACTAATGCAGACCTCATTTCTGATAGACTCGTTAAAATACTATTATAAGCAATCTTCCTGTAACAAATTAAATTTTAAAAATCATTAAGTTGGAAATAAAAAATGTACTTAATGTGGTTTAATGAAATTTGTGTAACCTAACACCGTTATAACCCCAGAATAGAACACACTACAGAAGAATTAGCTCTGGCTAAATTAAGGAATATTAAACTCGTCAGGGATGTGACATTCTTTTTAATGCCTGCGTCTAGGGTTTAATATGACAGGAAAAATGTAATGTTTCATAACTGACAGTTTCTAGGTTTGTGTTGCCTGAGGTTGCTCAGCTGAACAATAAACTGTAATTTGATTGATGGAAAATTGAAGTGGTTCATCTAGCATGCGGCTGTGTCTTTCCCCGGGCTTTGCCATTGCACGTATGATGATGTATCACATTTTTAGGAATAAATGTCATTTGTACTGCTGATGTGATTTTTGTTCTCAAAACGAAGATTTAATTGCACTGTAATGATCTATATCAGCTGAGGGCTCGTCACGGGAAAAAAATAACATTTGGGTGGGGACTTCCATGCAGATGTGTGGCTGGGTTGTCAGACGAGCGGCTGTGCAGCACCAGCACTTAGCACTTAGTATTCGCGGAGGCAAGCGTTCTCCCTGCTGGCTGAAAAGATGTACCTTGCAGGCAAAATGACATCAGCAGCCGGGAGAGCAACGCTGCATGATAACTACGGTCCCACTCTGCAGATCTCTGCTTCTGGTTCCTATCAAATTAATCCTGCGCAATAATAGGCTTCGTCAACAAAATGTAACCAGCTCTGACAAAGAGTTTTATTTCTTTCATTTCCACAGCAGATCTGGTTTTCATTTGACAATAAATTTCCTCCAAAGGACTAGGCTGCTTCCAGCGCAGTTCCTCATGTCTGCAGCGTTTGCTGTTTCAACACACCTACTGTAGGATTGTTGTATGCAAATGCAAGGACACCAGCATAAACATTTAATTCTATTTTTCAAATAAATGCGGTGGATTTTGGTTCCGGTCTAACAATACCATTGAAAAATGCTTCCTCGCAGTACTGAGATGGACTCGTGTCTTGTCCAAGGTGTACCCTGCCTTGCGCCCGTTGCTTGCTGGGAAAGAGTCCGGCTCCCCTGCGACCCATGTGCCTGCATATAAATGAAGGATCACAAAGCTGCTTAAGAGGATGCTCCTGCATGGCAAAAGTTTCACATCACATTCCCTGCTCGGATAGGAAATATCCGAAGAATTCAGGCAGCACTTCGAGATTATCTTAGGGAACCTCACAATTCGTCCTCTGGCGCAGTGATTTCCTTCACCGTTTATTTTCTCCAGAGCATCGCAAGGCATACATGACGTTTCTGTGTCAGAACGGCCATTTGACAACAGACATCAGAGGTTTAAAGTGGAAGGAAAAACAGAGTCCACTCTGGCCAGGGAGACTCTGGCTAGACTGATCCAGAGGCGTGATAGCGGTGAATCCTGGCAAGTGGAGAGGGGCCATCGGGGGCCCCAGCGGCCCTCCGGCTAGGCCTTCGAATGGCAGGAGGCCCGGCCTGCTGTCTCAGGAGGAGGAAGACACGATGGGGACTGGGCTGTCGGGGAGGGGGGATACACATAGCCTGTACCTTCATAAACAAGTAATAGGACAGTATTCCCAAAATGTAATCAATGTTTAAAAACAAGAGGCAACTTCTTGGCTCATTGTTTGTTTTTTTTAGGTAAAAAAGTATTCTACAGAAAGGTTTGCCTTTGAATTTTAAGATGAAATTCCTTGGAACTTGATCCTGAAATCTGCATAATGACTCAGTTTTTCTTTCATATTCTTCATGCGTATGTGGGATTTTACTTTAATAAGAAGGCAGCATGACTCATGTGGGCTCGTTTTTGGTTCCCTCTTTTCCAGGCCTTAGTCAATTTCCAAACTAAAGCAAGATTTAGGTAAAGAGCTACTGCTGCACGAGTCTGTTCTGGGTACTACTTCTGAAACTACAGAAGAACACCACATTGCAGCTAAACAAAATGGGGGGATTTGGGAAATATGATATCTTCTAAAATACTGTATATTGGATTTTGGGAATCTATGCAGATGAACACTGTAGAGAAGTACCTCTCTGAGCCCCCTCTCCCATGACCTTGTAGTGACACTCGCAGCAGAGTTTAACGTCTTATAGTCTTTCATTTGCCAGATTTTGACATTTGGATCACTCCACTATTAAAACTGTAACTCTGCTACATGACAAAGGTTCTTTGGATCACTAAAATTCAAAAATAGTGACATAAAAAGAAAGGCTAAAAATAAGAATCTGTGTAGAATTTTCACCGCAATAATTTTGTCATTTTGTATTCCTGTGTGATACGAACACTGAATCTGGTAGTAGGAAAATAGTGGTTTCCACTTCTGAATGAGCTGTATACAGTTAGACGTTTTTTTTCTCAGAGTGAAAAACCTTTTCCTTTGAAGGGGAAGCAGTACTGTTTCTACTAACACTACTTCAGGGCTTTAGTTTTATTGTAGGAGTAGGTGAAATTAGGAAATGTGTTTTGATGGCATCACCAAAGAAGTGTGCACAGAACAAAATGCACAGAGCAGATATTAAAATAAATTTCCAGTGACACTTTGACTTATCTTGAGAAATTTGAACAATTAGTAAGTGCTTTATTTCTGCATATGATTGTGAATAATGAATGTTTAATGATCTGCAATGTATTGTTAGTATTTCATTAATAAACAATGGTTAATGATCTGTAATGTCTTTTAGTCTTTGCATGTTTTCTTTGTCAATTCATGACAAGATGTTGCCAAAAGTAATAAATATTGTATTTCTGCATCTTCTCAATAATAAGCTATGCTTAATGAGCTGTGATTTTTGTTAGTTGTTTTCTACCTTTGCATTAAAAATTCATAAAACTTGCCTCAGTCGGATTATGCATTCTGGTTGGTAGTCATTTTTGTCTTTCTGCTACCATAACGTACATGTGCTGAAGAAATCTGAACAGAGTGTGGAATGGCTGACGTGCAGAGAAATCTGTTTTTTCTTCATTTGAAGTATATTCACATTGTCATGGTTTTTTAGAAGATGTTATCTGTCAGAATACACTCCTGTATTTTGGCATGGACTGTGGTGGTGATATATACTGTGCACAGTGAGAACTTCGCATATGATTCCATTATGCTCTAAACAGACTTTTTCGGCAGGATTAATGACTTCCACTGCTTAAATTTAGTTTTAAAAAGCGTACTGGGTGCATTAGAGCAGTCTGATGTACAATATATTTCAGAGATGCAGAGTAAAAGATGGTAAGTTAACATGTTATTCTGCAAATAAAACATAAGCTAAAACGTGACCACTCACAGAAGCATACACTTGAAATAAAAAAAATCATATCAACAAATATTCTTTAGCAAAGTTTGGACAGCTTACAGGATGAGTGTTGCTTTCTAATGGCTTACATCCTGTGAATGAAAACATGAGAGCAGGCGTCTATGGATAATGATGTAATTAAAAAGGGATACAATTTTGTTTCTGCTTGCTCTGTGAAACATGATATACACAGCAGTATTAGTAAAAAAATATTTTTTCTAGGGAAACCAACAAGATATTAGATCCTTAAAAAATAAAATGTTTCCTCTTTGTTCTTATGATCCAGTTGTAGGAATGTTAAAGAGATTAAGTACTAGTTTTGAGATAATTGGCTGGCAGCTTTTACGACTTGGACATAAAACTGTGTGAAAATGGTACCATTGGTTTATTTTAAACAAGATAATTAGGCTTTTAAGAATCAAGTGAAGAAATTCACCTGCTTAACTTAGTTGGATGTTAGTGAACAGTATTAAAACTGAAATGCGTGGGAAAAGAATGAATTTATAGTTTTATTTTTGATTGAGAGCAAATAAATGTCTAACAGTGGAGGTGTGAAGTAGGGGAATTCTAGTGGATCTTCTACATGTTTATTCTTCAAATAAAACCAATGCACACAACTCGCTGTTGTCTGAGCAAAAGCAGAACTGGGAATAAAACTAAGGTCTGTTGGGTTGCTATGCCACATTGCTAGGTAACTGACATGTTAGTTAGTTAGCCCCTGAATCCAGACAGATTTAAACAGAGTTTTGAGATGATGAAAATCAGCCATTGTCAGCAGCAGAAGAAATGGCAATGTTTCTGTTTCTTATGGCTGTGACGGGTGGAAATGCATTAATAAAATACACATCTTTTCAGCTGCTCTCCATTGTTTCCCTTCCATAGAGGTACAGTGTTTACTGACCCCCATTAAAATCAGTCCTAACTGTTCTTCTGAATTTTTACTGTATGAGGTTCAATTTAATAATTCTTCATCAACAAAGCTCTTAGAGATGGCCTGGACAAAATATTACTGGCATATTTAAGATGCATTTTCACTCAGGTTTCTTCTGACTACTGATGAGACCACAGTTTTTATTATTACATTACCAAACAGGTCTAGATATGATTGCAATCAGGATCATGTGTGTCATATATTTAATACTCAAGACAACAATATCAAAGAAAACACAGCAGTTTGGTGGCCACTCAGCACCCTGGAGCCAAAATTTGGCTTGCAGGGATTTCACACCTGCTTGGATTTAGGATACAAGCCAGATGTTCACAGAATATTTAGAGAAGTTATTTAATTTACATACGATCTACAGCAACTTAGCACAGCACTTAAAAGAGGTACTGTATGATGACTTGGAAAAGGAGGGTCTAGACTGGGCGTGAAATGATGTTGTCACTGGACGCATGGAGCAGCGTGCTAAAGCTCACAGCCCAGGGAGAGTGACAACACCTAGAGAGGGGACGGCCTGCACGAGGAGGGGACAGGAAAGGGATCGAAAGGAGTACCTGGCATGAGTTTCATCTGTTTTTCTGTCTGTTGTCCACGCAGCAATGTGACCAAAGCACAGAAGCAAGCCAGCAAGCAGCTCCAAGCCTTGCTGGACATACTGTACAGTATGCCAGAAAGTGCTTACCTGCAGCAGCAGGAATAGGAGCCAGGCCCAGTGCTCAAGGTGCCAGACCCTCAGGGTGCTGTCTGGCTCCTTACAAAACCTCTGCTACAAGACTTCAAAACAGCTCCAGGGGCTGCTGCTGTCTCCCTCACGGCGGGACAGGGGAACCCCACCTCTGAAACCCTTAAATACAGAGCATGATCAATGACTGTGGGGCAGGGTTGAATGATGGAGGAGGGCTGCTCCTCTGGAATGGAGAATGTCATGGTGTCGGTGTCTTTTACACCCTCTCCATTATCATACCCTGGACCGGAGAGTACAGGGGGCTGAGGACATCGGGTGAGAAGTCGGACTGTAGTGTGCGGACTGTAAACTACGACTGTATAACTTAGTGGGAAAAATCCATCGTAATATTGTTTTAGAATCTTATTATTTGACAAAGAGACTGACAGAGACAGACATACAAATTGACAGTCAAATAGAGTGGTTGACTGATTGATTGATCGGTGGATAGAAACTATCACACCAGCCTCCAGACAATACCTTAAATTTGCATTTTCTTTGCCATTTTCATGTCCTGATTTTAATCAAATGCAATAAGTCCCACCCAAGAGAAACCACAACTGCAGCATCTATTGGATTTCAGGTCTGAGACTGTAGAACTGCAGAGACACGATCATATACGGTAGCATATACCCACATATTTCCATGGCAAGGTCAGGTGACTGATATCTGAATGAGTGAATAGCGATTGGGGGCAGTCCCAGAATTCCCCAGACAGGAATCGATACATCCCGCCAATATCTTTTTTTCCCAAAAGCTACTTTGATGTAAAATGATGGCTCACCAGCTGTAGACTTTAATAAGGGGTATCTGTGATAAATAACTTAAAAGTACATTTTCCCACTTTAAGCAAAATTGTGCTTAGTTGCTACAGAATACAGTATCTATATATTTATTTGATTTTTTTCTATTATACCTTTTATGTAAATAAAAGCTTTTTGCTTTCTTGTAATTAAAAATACATGTGCTAGAGCTTATTAAGTACCTTTTACATTAGTTGTTATTAAACTTTAATTCAGTAAAGGTTTCTCTGAAGTTCAATAGCTTCAAAGGTTTAGCATGTTTTCAAGTTAGAAAAACTAGGTTCAGCTAAATTACTTCAAAGTGAGTTTTGTAAAACGTCTTCATCTGCTGAAATAAAAGGCCTCTATTTTCTATTTTGAATGAGAGACTCAAGTCAAGCAAGTAAGTGTTCTACTTGGATGACCGAATATCAACAAAAAGTCTAAATTCACTTGAACCTCAATATTTTGGAAACGGTATTTCTTAAACAGAATATTCTCTAGTCCGTGGTGTAATGCTTTTTTAGGCAAAATTTGCCAGATAAAATAGAATCCAAAGGAATATAGAAGGCATTGTAACTGTTCATTATTATCAACTGTCATAAATATTTAGCTTTTTTGTTCAAATCTTTAAACTCATAACATAGCTGCGATGTATTAAGACTTAAAAATGAAATATTAAAAAAAATGTGCCCATTATTTTGTTTTTCAGAGGCTTTAAACTGTTCCACATAACATAATAAACAGTTAATAATTCAGCAGTTATTTCTTTAAATGCCCAGTTATGTAGTCAGACCACAAAAGCAATTACCAGGTCAAAAAGTCATCTTAAACAAAACAATTAACATTAAAAGTTGGGTGTCTTATTATAGGATTTTGAATGCAGCAGAAATATAAATATTGAAAAGTGCCAAGCCCAGCTATAAAACACTAATACCCAAGCTTTAAAAACACTTTTAACTGTGAAATAATAATCAAATAATTGAAAAGCGATAAATAAGTGCTAATCAATAAGCCCATATAACTCACCAGGAGTCACAATTAAGGTCACATTTGACAATCACATCCAAACAAAAAGAAAGATAGATTCAGATTCAGACAATTAGCCTAGATGTGTTAAAGTTTGGGGAAGGAAATCCAGGTGGGCATTTTCGTGCAAACCTGTCTCAGCAGAATACCTCCCTGCTTAGCGGTTACAGGTTACTACTCTAGGCATTCTGTCACACAGTTGAGCCATTCGTCACCTTCTGTTGTCAGTGTCAGAGTGACTGCAGCACACGTATTTTAAAATTTAAATATGTTTCGGTTCATTAACACATTAAAATAAAATGACGTCCTGAAGCCATTATGAAAAGCTGGAGACTGTTGACCATCAGTGTAAAATCTTAAATGTATATACGTTCCAGACAGTTATGGACCTGTCACATAGTGCCGGGATAGTTTTACAGCACACAAATTGACCGAACGGACTTGCAACACAGTGACTTGATTGTCTCGAATTGAGGAGTCACGGTAATCTGCCAATTTATGAGCTCAAAACCACCACATTTTTTCTGTATTTTAAAATCCCATCAGAAATGACTTGGTTTTCCACTTCCCATCAGCCACCGCAGCACAGCCTCAGGTGGTACAGGTCCATCCGTCGTGAGCTTTCCACACTTGTTTCAGTCTGGGGACCTGCTGAAAAATGCTCGGTGCCGTGTGAAGAAACATACAGGCCACCTTTCCCTCACACTGCACTACTCAGATCTTGATGAGTGAGCTGTGGCCCTGTCTTTCTTGGTTCACCTTATACCAGAGCTCCTACAAAACTGCAGCCCTGCTGATCCTCATCCGTGCCATACCTTAATTGTTCTATTCATCATGCTAATTATGAATTAAGGAACTGAGGTCATGCTGTACCGAAGAAGTCTTGGGGAATGGATAGGCAA